TCCACGTTGTCGTTGAGCCCAGTCCAGGATGAGGCCGTCGATGATGGCGTCAACCAACTTTGGAGGATATTCCTGGGCAGCTTGAGGCAAACCACCAATGAGAGGTTCATGTCCTTCAAGACACTTGCATTGCTTTTGCAAGTTCACCGCAATGGAGTCGCAGGTGGTCGCAAACAAAGTGGACTTCCGGTTCAACTTCTGCCTCACTCGAAGGCCAAATCTGCAGAGGTGGGCCTTGACCAGGATCACTTCATCATGCTGCAGGAACTGTTGAACTCGTGGCAATGACCAGGACGTTGATGTGTCCGGATGCTCGCGCAAGCCATATCCGCCTCTTTGAAGCTGGTCCTCTTGAAGGTCCATGGAGTAGTCCATGTGGTCGATGGCGGGTCCAAGTTCTTGCTGAAGTAGTTCAGGGTACCACCTCAAATTCTGTAATGGAGAGAACTTGGTGCACGGCGGTGAAGTGATCAAGAGTCGAGGCTTTCTCTGGTGTAGATCTTGTCGGACTTGTGCTTTCTGTTGACGATCTGACAAGTCCACGCCAGTGGTGAGATCCACTGACAATTCCGCTCGAAGACCTCGAGCTGCTGCACGTCGAACCACACGTGGTGGGCTGTAGACCTCCACAACGGTGTCTCGAGTTTCCCAGATGCTGCCAAAGACCTCGGCAACATCATCTTGTGCATCTTCCTCTTCCCAAAGTGCCCAGTAGGTGGTCAGGTCACCGAGCAGCATGTCCAAGCTGCCATTGATGCTCATCTTGTCGGCTCTGGAAAGGGTGACCTCGTTCTCATACTCTGATTCCACCAGGTAAGCGATGAACTCAGGATCGAACTCATAGAAGACCACATAGTCCATGGGGGCACCAAGCACATAGTCTTGACCGGGTGTCGTGGTCATGTCAACAGCGCACCAAAGCCATCATGGGTCAAGATGACCCTCCGGCTAACAAAGGTGTTGGTGACGACTGGAGACTTCCCTTTGACAACATCACCATATCCAATGGCTACAAAGGTCGTGCTTGGGTTGAGGTTCAAAGTGTCCAGGAGGCCGCCGTAGGTCTCGTCAATCTCGATCTTGTCCGGTGGTGATTGGAGCCACCAGCAACTCACTTGTTGATGTTCTCGATCTCGAACTGGCCCATCCGGATGTAGTAGTCGGGGAGCTGGTAGAGGTAGATGGCCACACTACAATTGGTGTTCAGGCAGATCAGCTCCGTGTGCTGAGCATCGCCATCCATCGCTGGTGCAGTCATCATCTCGCCTGAACTGCACTGTGGGCAAAGAAATGCTCCCACTGCCGGTTTGGTGTGTCCTCGAGGATGATTCCAAGCTCGTCGGCAGGTGGGGTTCATGCATCTCCACAGTAGGCGCCCAGTCGTCTGGTGTCGATGAAGTAGGAGGCTCCCATTGTTGCAGAATCCGCAGTGCTGAGCCAGGACATCGTTCTCCATCGAAGACATCGCAATGTCCTGAGGTCCAATGGGGTTGATCTCCTCCCACTCGTCGTCCATCTCCAGATCCTCCTCCAGTTCCTCCGGATCGGAAGAAAACTCCGGAATGGGGCTCTTCTTCTGTGGCATTGTCTTGGCAGCCGTTGCCTTTGCGCTCGACTTGGCTGCGGGCTTCCGGTAGCCCTGAGTTGAAGATCGAGTGGACTCTGCCTTGACGGACTCGGCCTTCTCCTCCTTGACCTTCTTCTTCTGGTAGAAGTCGTGGCTGACATACACGAGGGTGTTGTTCCAGGTCTCCATCTGGTTGACCGGTGTCAAGGGCATCTGCTGCTCTTGGCCGCAGTTGAGACACTTCTGGTAGCTCATGTTCTTGTTGGCGCCATGCTGAGTCTTCAAATGCCGGCAGTGAGTGCTGTCTTCCAAGCATGGCACCAAATATTTGCCTTTCCCCATGATGCACGACAGGGGTCGGACACGATCCTCCCGCCTGGACAAGGTCAGAGTTGATCCAGGCTGGACAGTGCTGGCAGATGCAGCTTCTGCCAACATCTTCTGTTCGGCCTGTGCCAAGGCCAAGGCCTTCTTCTCCAAGTCCTCGCGCTGTCGTTGAAGGCGACGGACTCCACGTAGTTGGGGCGTTCGAACCACCTCCATCAGACATTGGCGTGCCAGCAAGTCCACATACTCCAGCAAGCGCAGTAGCAAGCGCCGCCAGTGAGCCAGCCATGCCGCCATGCGAGGTGGTCGAGGTTGAGGGTCGTGCCTGGTCTGGTAAGGGCTCCAGAGACCAGGCTTGACTCTTCGTGCCAGCGAAGTCGGATGGAACTTGAAAGCCGTGGCCAAACTCAGTAATGCAAACAGCAACATGACCAGTTGACATGCGATACACGCGTTGCTGAACTGCCAATGACATGTAGATGATGGTCAGGTGGTGCATATCAATCACAGCTTTGAGATCTGTCAGGAAGTATGCTGGCAGGAGGAATGGTATTTCACCTGGGACCACTTGTACACGTAGTACTCCACTCTTTCCAGACAAGCCGATGGGGATGTAGGCTATCCGCGTTGATTCCTCCTGTCCGCATACTCCTCGAACTGCACCACCATGCTCATTGGACCATTGTACCTGGAGACCAAAATGTTCCCGCAAATGACGATCGTGTCTTTGGAGGGTGTCATGACCAACCAACCCGTGCTGAGCCGCGGTGTCGACGAGTGCCATGCCCCGATCCGGCGCCGAACCAAGAAAAACGAACGACAGGCCGCTGAACATGTATTCGCACGAGATCGGGTCCAGGTTGGTCGTCAGAAACTTATGTCCACAGTTGGCCATCACTGCAGGTGGTGACGTGAAAACTTAGTGGAGATGGTTGAGCCTCCACTCACATGTGAACTGCGGCATGAAGGGGCCGTCGATGCTTGCTTGTTCCTTTGCGGACACTCTCGAGACCAGTGTCCGATCTGCTTGCATTGGTGGCAGCGGGATTTGGCCTTGATGTCATTGAGGGACATCTTCGAAGTGCCTTGGCGCATCTGCCAAGGTCGATCAAAGCCTCTGCCCGTCCGGGCAGCCTGTAGCATTCGACGGTGCTCCAAATAACCACCGCCTCGTCCAAAACCAGGAGCTCCAAGGCCATAGGTTCGTGAACTGCCACCTTTGCCTTTTCCTTTCCCCTTCTTTCCTTTTCCTTTGCCCTTGCTATGCAGGCGCTGGTGGGGCTCGTAGAAGATCTCTTCCAGGTTGTCACTGACCATCTCAATGGCTTCCGTTTCATCCATGATCACTGGCATCTCATGGAGGAAGATGAACTGAGCTTCACTGCCATCATCATTAAGCGCGATGAGGTCCTCGAAAGGGTCGTCATCCTCAATCTCGCCATAGGTGGCAGTTGGCTCATCATCAAACATCTCTTCATTCATTTCTTCATCCCAGTAGGTAGCACTGCGCCACCTCCGGGGAGTACCAACGGCTTCATGGTGTCCATGGCTTTCGTCCAGCTTGTCACCGAAGACCTTCTGGATTGCCACTTCGATGTCCTTGTAATCGATGCTGCCGTTGGTGACTACTTTCAACCTCTGGCGTTGATCCTGGGTGAATGAGCCTTGCCTCAAAATGAGGTGACCCAACAAATGCCGCCCCGGACTGGTAGCCAACAGGTCCAGTCCTTGCTTCTTCAAATCGGCGAAGGCCGCCTTCTTGGTGGTCAGAAAGCTTGTGAGCGTTTGGCCTCGCTCACGTCTTCCTTTGAAGATCGCGTCATCGAAGGCAGTCTCGAGGCGCAAGTCCTTCAAATACTCATGGGCGTCCTCGATGATGCCAAGTATGACCTTATGGCCATTCTCCGAGCAGATGTCGTCGACAGTCAAATGGGCCAGAAGGGAGCTGAGCTTCGAGCCAAGCGGAATGCTGTCGATGATCCGCTTTCCAATCAAGTTGTGAGGCAGTCGAGCCTCTGCCTCAACCAGCCAGAGTTGAAGGTTCCGGATGTACTCTTTATAGTTCTTCTCTGGCATGTCACCGCCCCAAGATGGAGCGGGGTCCACCTTGTAGTCCACATACTTTTTCTCGCGAGCACCTGATTGGCTTCCGGCCGGTGTCGGAGGCCGGATGGCCGTGGCAGCTGCAGCCCAAGGATCAGGTTCTTCATAAAGTCCCGAATCGACGGGGTCAGGTACCTGAGAAAGTCGATGGACTTCAGGTCGCGGCGGACTCGCCATAGGGGACCTCGGTGGTCGTGGCGGACTTGCCATCGGTGATTTCGGCGGGGCCGCCATCGAAGGGGTCGATGATGAAGTTGCTCCAACTCCGCCTCTCCAGAAGCGGTGCAGCCTGTCAGCTGACGTACGTCCCAGTGAACTGGTACTTCACAAAGGTCAGGCTGATGGCAAAGATGTCGCCTGGGCCCTCAATCAAATAGTTCGAACGAAGTCCCGGCGCCGGCTAGCAAAGTCGTAGGGCTAGCGTAGTGAAGGTGGTCGTAGACCAAAAGCAAAACAAAAGCTCAAATCAAGCGCAAAGGAAAACCAGGCCAGGATGGCCGTCCAAACTTCGCCACGTCAGTGGCTTACAAGAAGTCCCTGCTGCTGGAGGGTGCCGAAGATCTCCTCAAAGGCGAGGATAATGAAGTTGAAGAAGGGTGGCCGGGGCGTCCCCCGTCACGATCTTCTCCACCGCTCCAGCAGAGCCCAGGTCGTCACCCGGGCTCCGCTACCACTGATGAACAGCGGAAACGCAGTGCCTATGGCGCACGGCAAAGAAGGCCTTTTCCAAGGCAGACTCAAGTGGCCACCAGGTTTGGGCCGGTACGGTCATGGAAAGTCAACAGGTGTGGATGGCCAGGGTTTCAGGCGTTTAGTTTCACATGTACATACACATGCAAAAATACCACTTACTGTACATGGAAAAACAACCATGACCCCTAATAGAAAGGAGGGAAATCACTGATTCGACCGTGTTCCTTTGTGTTGGGCATCTTCTCCAAAAAAATGAAAAACGACCAAACCGTCAGAACCCATTCGGACTCTGCTCACACGGTCTCACGGCCTCAGTGGTGGAGCTGGGTCAGCTGATTGATCGCCACACCCAAGGCCTGGAGCGGCACGGAAGCGGTGGCTCGCCCGACTCGCTGCATCAGGTGCTAAACCGGTGTACAAACACCACGTGTGGGCGAAAGAAGCAGAGAGAGAGAGGTAGCAGGTAGGTGTGCTTTTGGAGACAAAACGAGACCTGGGAGTGTAGAGTTATACAACGGTATAGAGTCATAGAGCTTTGATGGGCCTTTTTGTTTAAGGGGTTATCACCGCGGAAGTTCCGCCCCTGGAACAGCCCATGTTGAAGCCCAATTTTGGAGGCACACCCACTGACACCTTGGGACACAACACATGCAAAACACAGGTTCCCCACCCATGCAGACGGTATCTCATCGGCTGTCGAATGGAACGAGACCACGCCGGAACCGCGTGGACTGTGGAGCGCACCCAACTGGCTTCGACGTCCAAGTGCTGGTAGCGGATCTTCTTCACCACCACCAACCTCGGCAGCTGAGCGCCGTGTCCACGTCTTCAGACGACCGGGGGTCTGTGCGTCGACACGGTCGACACCATGTCGACTGCCGGAACTGTTCCGAAGGAACGAAGAGATGGTGGTATTGGACTTGCAATGTGTCCCTTCTGCTACAAATCCAGATAATTATGCCATATCCAGTGTAATGCGATGATGTCAAAATAGTTTATATCGTATATTGTAATTTCGGCTGATGAGTCAGTCCAAGAAAACTGCATTCGAAATCATCCGAAGTTTGCGGGTAGTTCTCTACGATGGCCCAACTCTTTCTGAATGCTCTATATATAATATATATATAGATATGTACGAGAGAGCTTTACCGCTTACCTTCTTCTTGTTTCTAGGTGACCAACCCCAAGAATGCCAAGGATAAAAGCAAAAACCAGTCATGACAAATCCCATCTTTCAAAGTGCGCCAAAAAGGACATTGTTGAAAAACAGTCAATACAGCCAAAGGGTCTGCTGAAGCACGGGCCTCTGTTGGTCTACAAAACACAACAAACCATCCTCAAGTATCAGGGGCCTTGCTGCTTGGATGAAAACCCTGCCCCATCCTCTCAAGATGCTGTCCACTAATACAGTTCCATGAGAGTGAAACTCCCACCCGTTCGGAGCCAGCACCCTTCAGAAAGCCCAGGAGCTCTTGTTCTTCCCTGAAGCCGAAGGCATGAAGTAGGCGGGCCTAGAAGCACAAGGGAAGCGATTTGCAAAAGAAGCACGCAGCTTGGTCAGAAGAACTGTTGAAAAACCGCAGTGGTCTGCTCTTGGCCCATCTAATGGCAAAACAAACAAAGACTAATGCCGCCCGCTGCCGCCCTGACTGACAACGCTTCCGTCTTGTCTCAAACTTCGTTGGAGTGTCCAACACACACTTGTGTAGTGGGAAGTTACCCCAACTACCCAATTCAGAAAACCCACCAAAACACTGGATACCAGCTTCTTCAAAGTGACCTTTTGAAGGTTCCTAAGTGACCCTCAGGAGGCTTAAGTGACCTCAAACCAGGTTATCAAAAGGTCACTTTGAAGAACCAGGTACATGACTACAACAACAGCATCAACTACCTGCACTCTTTTCGTCCTCACGGGACTCCACTGACCCCAGGGTCAATGTCACCAACCTCGGCCCTAGCTTCGAACCCCACGAACCCTCCGCCCGCGCCCGTGCCCGCACGCATGACGGCGGGCGCGTGCCTGGAAGGTGAGGTCGAAACACAACCACAGGAGCCGCTCCTCGCGGTGGGAGGAAGAAAGCGCTGGGAGGGAAGTGATCCAAAGAATGGAGACCCTTGGGGTGCAGGTACCGACATCTTCATAAATCTTCGACATCTTTTTGGCCATCCTTCGCTGATTGGGGGGATCCTGTGCAAACGGCCAACCTGGCCAACGGCGCGAGAGGGTGGAAGAATGTCCATGTGTTGCTGTTGCTGTTGCTGTTGCTGTTGCTGTTGCTGTTGCTGTTGTTGTTGTTGTTGTTGATCACCAGGCAGGACAAGGGGTCTTGATTCAGCAGCAAGTGCCACACATGACAAATGGATGAGAAGCTCAAAGTGTCCCGAAACGATGCTACGATTTGGGTGAGCCTTCCTGGTTTAATCCACCAGCACTCCGAACCATCGAACTCGCTGGATGGAGCATAGCACCAAGTTCACCCAAAAAAACCTACCTAGAACCCAGACAACCTCAGTTTTGATAGGAAAAGACCATGTGTTGGATCCAAAACAGGGGTCAAACTGTTTCAGGAAAAAGGATGGCGCCAGCACTTCCTGAGCAGCTGATGTTGCGTGGCCAGCTGGTGTTCCCTCCCTCCCTCCCATTCACACCCACCCACCCGATTTGAGTTCGACCAAGCTCGGCAACTGTACACAAACAACCGACTTTCTCTGAAGAGCCACCACAAGCCACCTTGCAAACCCTAAAGGGATTGACCGATTTACCCACTTTGAGACCAATAACAACACCTGCCGTTCTTTGGCAGTCCCCAGCCTGTCCCTCGGTCATCCTCACCGTTCACCCCAGCCCAACCGCGCCCGTCTTCCTCGCCGCCAAAAACCACCGCCCAAACCGCCCGAGCTTTAGCTTCCACCGGAGTCCCTTTCTTCAGCTCCTGCGAGAGGCGAGGGAACTCCCGCGCCGACCTGAGCATCTTCCGCGCTTGGTCCGGACACGCTGCGTGCGGACACGATGTCATGTGGGGGGGAGGGCGGCCGGTTGCGACAATGCCAGTATATTGTCCTTGAGAGAGTGTCCGCATACTCTGGTCGGCAACCTCGAGATGCTTCCACTTCCACCAGTTTGCATTCTGGGTTCCAGCTAGATTGGAGATCGCAAAAGAAGGCGTCACTGGGACGCACCCCTGTGTGGGGCCACACACTGACACCGGGACACTTAGATTCGACTCTGATGCGAAAAGGAGGCCCATTTCTCCTTGCGAGGGCATTGAGCTGCCATGGGCAGCGTTCGATGCATTTGTTCGTTCGATCGTGGGAGCTCGGCTGGGAACTCGTGGCCACCGGTTTGGACCAAATCCAACGACCCGTCCTTTCGAATCACCAGGGTCATGGGTCCAACGACCGATGCCTTAAAAACAGCAAAGATCTCGTTGTTTTTTGATCGTTTTTGGGGGTTGCTTTGATGCTGTTGTTCACAGGATCCCCTTTGAGAAGCCACGGCCACAGGTGGGTCTTCTTTTCTTTAAAGGGTGACGGTAACACAGCGCCTTGGAGCCCTACTTGCCAACATTTGGGAGTACGACAAAGGGACACAAAGAACTATAGAGTTATAGACCTCCATAGTCAGTTGCCCATCCAAAAACATCCCAAAACCATGCCAAAGCCTGTGTCTATCAGCGAAGGACAAGACGACTGAAGGCTACCCTTCGAAGGCTCCACACCATGTCTCGACCCATCGCGCGCGATCACGCGCGGCGCGCCGCTGAAGCGGCGAGCGGCGCGTTGAGGCTCTCCCCCAGCGAGCAGGCGCGGTCTGGGGCCGTTTCCGCCGGCGCGGAACGGGGGGGCGACCGTGGAGGTGGCGAGCGCGGAGGTGAGCGACCATGATTGCAATGTGAACAGAGAAGAAAACAGGTTTAACATGGTTTAACATCTTGGAACTGTTGGGTGAAGAGTCCTCCCAAGTCGAGGTCACATCGGTTTACGTCTGCAGCGACCGGTTCGTGACCCATAGATGGAACAACACCGGTTCCGATGATGGTGGTGTATATCAGGCGCTCGGTTCCCAGAAAGAAACACATAGAAACACCGTCCGGGACCCAAATGTTTGGGCGCGTCATTTCTTGCGAATCGAGCTCCTGGTGGTGCAGACCATCACCGATGGTAAGCCAAGTGCCTGCTTGCGCTGCGAAGTCACCCACTTTCAGTTCTTGGGAATAGCTGCTGATGAGGCCCACGTCACGCCTTAGTGGCACAAGAAAGGGTGTGAAAGCACTTAGTGGGGCAAGCAAATTCTGCATCACTAATTTCATATGATGCAGGGGCATGTAGGGTACACAATATGTCCATAAGGATCATAAGGGCATAGCAGACTGACATGTCAACAGTTCTGCGATCCATCTCCCATTGCTTGATTCTGCTTGAAACCTGCGATATGGATCAAAGAGATATCATTGAAACCTGCGAT